ATATGCAAGTGCTATATTAGTATATTATTATAGTGTTATATTTCAATTTCACAAAAACGTACAGTATTTTGTCTAAGCAATAATAAAAGGACACATTTGATTTATAATTTGTCATAAATCTAATTTAGTAAAAAAAAAAAAAAAATCGTGAATCGAATCGTGAAATCAAAATCGTGAATCGAATCGAATTGTGAGTTGAGTGAATCGTTACATCCCTAATCTACAATATGTAATTTTTAACTTGCTCATCTGCAACATGCCAAAAACGTTCTTCCTTTTTTTCAGAAAACTGATTATTTAAATTAATGATCAAGTCATCTGTGCATAGTTCACTGTCTCATAATAAACATTAACCACACAGTTTTTACAACTTTTGAATACTTAAAAGGCCTTTTTACTTTGAATCTTAAAGCTGAAGATAAAAACTTAAAAAAAAAAAAAACTTTCCGGAAACAAGCTCACTTACAAAGTTTGAGCAAAATTACTGACTATGGCAGAAAGACTGAATCTTTGGGGTGGTCCGGTGTTTTACATTGAGCCCATTAGCCACTTGCAAATCATTACTGTGATGAGGTAACAGAAGACGCATTGCGTGTTATCAGCAGAAACAGCTGCTCTGCATTCAGACAGAGATGCTTCATTAACCTGAACATGTCTCCTCCAGTCAGGGCTATAAATACAGCCCTATCGAACAACTGCAGTCTCTACCTTTGATTTATGATGCATAAAAGTTGTGCTGGCCCATGCAAAACGCTACTGCAATGCTACAGTGCTCTGGATGTTTTTAGTGTGGTGCTATGTGGTTGCTAGAGTGTACTGGATTCTTACTAAATTACATTTTTAAAAAAAACATTCTGAAATGGCAGTTACATGTTATGAAAAGCCCGTACCCTCTGCTAATTCGCTATCGTTAAAATGAATGATTAATATATATATATATAATATAACCACACAAAACATGGTTAGTTTAATAAATGTAAATTATTTAGAATAATTACTCATAGCTGCCAATTTTACATTTATTGCCAATTTTGTTGAATGTAATTTTTGACCAGATTCACGTGTTTTTGCTGAATAAAGGTATTCATTTCTTAAAAAAAAAAAAAAGCAAATAAAAAAAATTCATAATGATAGCAAAACTAGTAGTAAGCATGTACTGTGGACTATGGGAATTCAGTTTCATTTATTTGCATAAAGAGAAGGGTGGTGCTATATGTCCAAACAGATTTCATTCATTTGATTCATTCAGTCTCTCAAAGTGTACTGATGAATCTAGAACTGAGAATAAAGTGGCAAGATAATTAATAAATGTGTGTGTGTGTGTGTGTGTGTGTGTGTTGGAGTGACTGCTGAATGGCTTTGGAGGGCAGATCCACACCCTCACTGCGGTGGCATTATCTGTCTGTAATCCCAGAGTCCACTGCTCCACCCCATCTACACAAAAGCCAATGTGAAGTAATCAATCGCTCTAGCCCTTTCTAAAGCCCTCCACACTCGCATATCAAAGCAGACAGCAGCAGGGTGGAAATGCGCCCCCTTGTCTTCCATTGTGGGTTAAGACCCTGTTGTGTGAGTGTTGAGCCTGGAGACGTGTGTCTGTTGTCTTTCTTGAAAACCTGTGATCCATGATGGGGGTTAGGACAACTTAAAGCAGAAAGCGTTCCTCCTACCATTACTTTAGTCTGTGGAAATGTATCATTAGTAAAACACAATACAGAGAGACAGTCACGCTGACACACTGGATTTTTCCAACAACCAGAATGTGCATTTTCCAGTTTCTTTCTATGTTACATCTTTTAGTCTATTTCTGTTCTATTCACTTCCTAAATTTATATATACTCCCTAAATATAAATATATATATATAAACATATAAATAAATATATATATTAGAGGTCGACCGATAGTGGGTTTTGCCGATACCGATAGGTTGGACCACACTGGCCGATACGGATTAATTAACCGATAGTTTTTAAAATGGATACTGAACAAAAACGAAAATAGTGCTTTATTAAAAAAACAGTACTGAACCATACTACTAGTAGTAGTAGTACTAATAATAATAATAATAGTAGGGCTGCACGATTCTTGCTAAAATGTGAATCACGATTTTTCTCCATGGGAATTGAGATCACGATTCTCTTACACGATTCTCATTTTTTCAACCAAAATTTATTTCACTCAAGTACAAAAAAACAAAACAAACAAACACAGGACTAGAGCTGCACGATTCTGGATAAATTGAGAATCACGATTATTTTTGTCTCAAATAGAGATCACGATTCTCCCACGATTCTGAACTAAACAAAATAATGTGTGGCAAAATATGATTGCTGCAGTCTATTTAAAAGTGTTTAATTAATTTGAATGAAGTATTAAACATTTTAATATACACTACCAGTCAAAAGATTTTGAACAGTAAGATTTTTAATGTTTTTTAAAGAATTCTCTTCTGCTCACCAAGCCTGCATTTATTTGATACAAAATACAGCAAAAGCAGTAATACTGTGAAATATTTTTACTATTTAAAATAACTGCTTTCTATTTGAATATATTTTAAAATGTAATTTATTCCTGTGATCAAAGCTGAATTTTCAGCATCATTACTCCAGTCTTCAGAGATCCTTCAGAAATCATCAGAATAATATGCTGACATGCTGTTCAAGAAACATTTTATTATTATTATTATTATCAATATTTAAAACACGTGAGTACATGTTTCTTAACCAAACATGGTAACTGCTCTCTGTGTGTCAGCGGCAGTGCGAACGCAGATTTGAATGATCCGGTAAGACTTTGTCAAAGGTTTAATAGACACGGGAGAATCATTGTCATTTAGAAATGAGATCGTGTGGTTGTCTGAATCGAGATCGCGATCTTTTAACGATTAATCGTGCAGCTCTAAATAATAGTAATAGTAAATGTTGAAATTAACACACTCTAACAAGGAACAATACTTACACAGCTTTCATTAATCTTAATGTTACCATTAGTATTACCATTTCAATTCAACAGTCATGCTTAAAGATGTACATCTTTAAATATATACACAAAGGCCATAGCATTACAATTATATACATATGGATATTGTATGTATACTCTCATACTCTAACTGCTTCTATTCTTGAACACTTTATGATTATCTAATCAAAATAAAAGCGCAGCGCTGAGTCTAGGAGAACTCACCGGTATCACACAGACTCCGGACGCGTCACGTTCAACTCGAGCAGTGGTCTAAAACAGTTTATTTAATCACCAATCGGACACAAGTTTACTTCAAGAATGAACAATGAGGCATAGATGAGTTTGAAGTTCGGTGTTTAAAAAACGGAGCAAACGGTTAGAGAAAGCGCGATCTATATTATAGCTCTATAAATGAAGCAATCAGACTTTATTAGAGCCACAGAAATACAAACGTTTCGCTGAAAATGCACAATACACAATTCATTACGTACATTAACAATGATTCGGGACAAATATAATGTAATTTAATGGAAAACTACGTGAATGGCACTATGTGGCGCGGCAGGATTTTCTGTCGGCTGCATTTAAAACCTCTGTTCAGCGTGCAGTATCACGTGTCTAAACAAATAGCACATGCTGTCAGTGATTTCAACCACTAGAGGCCGCACTTGCACTGTATAATGACAGCAGACCCTTCTTAGCCAGCAATGGACGCAACCTGGAAAACTATCGGCATATTAGTTCCAGCAATCAACTAGCGGTGGCGATTAATCGGCAAAACAGATACATCGGTCGGCCTCTAATTTCTTCTCAAATAACATTTGAGATCTCAATTTACAATTATAACTTTCGTATGATTTTGGCTCAGATTTTCAACCGGCTCGCGGTTAATCGTTACATCCCTACAATAAATACAATATGTATTTTTCAGATCATAACTACTTTATATTAGTGCTGTCAAACGATTAATCGTGATTAATCGCATCCAAAATAAAAGTTTTTGTTTACATAATACATGTATGTATACTGTGTATATTTTGTTATGTATCATGATTAATCGTTTGACAGCACTACTTTATATTTAAATTATTTGTCCTTATTTTTTACATGATTTTTGGTGTCCAAAACTCTGACACCAAATTTAAAAACTTTAAAATTCATTTAAACTTTTTTTTAAAGTACAAAAGGAAACAACAGTCAGATTTTCTTACTTGATGCACAAAATGCTCTTTGGAATTTTGTTCTCAAATCCTGCTGATAATATAACAACTTGTAAAAAATAAAACCTACATTAAATTATAAAGCTGCAAAACAGAAGCATTTTCACTCATGGACTCATAGAAATAGACATTATTTTTGCTACAGTTTTCCTTCTCACAGTGATCAGTAAGGTTTACTCTACTTTTGGTTTTTAAGAGGTTAAGCTACGCTCATGCAACAAACATCTGATTCAAATGAAAAGAACCTTTCAGTTACCCTCACAAAATCAATGCCGTGACACACATAAAGCTCGGCCAGCTTAGCTTTCACAAACAGGAAGAGATTTTACCACAATGCTAAGCCTTCAGAAAGGCCCTTAACTTCTTGAGTTATAACTCAAAGCCCAAGCACATGATTCTCTCCACATCAAACTATCCATTGCTGCTCGGCCAATCCCTCGTGTAGCCCAAAGCTCCGACCCCGATTCACTGGAGAGGTATGCACAATTACATAAACTCCTTTCATTCAGAGTTCACTGCCCACTAAGTGACCAGGGAGAACAATGGAGGCAGCACAACTGATCTGTCACTGCGTATCCTCAGGGCATCCACATACACACACACAAGCCCTGTCACAACAAATGGCTGTCAGACAATGGGACGAGCCATTAGTGCATTCCACCCCCGACCACTGGCCCGCTTAACATTCCCTGTGAAGGCCCTAGTGGCCTGAGCACCTGTGGGAAAATCTGCTTAGAGAAGCTGCTTTTCCTGGCCGAGCCGCTGCATCTGAAACCTGTTCGGGAAGCTCCCCGCTGAGCATCGGCTTGGCTGCACGTCAGCCTTGTAAACAAACCCACAGCTTGCCTAACGTTCTCCCGCAGATGCGGAATAAGCCGCGGCATGCCAGCCACACCTGAGGAAAACAATGAGACGCAACTCACATGTCTGTAGCCCAGGGAAATGTCCCCAGACACGTCTCCCGTCACCGCTGCACATCCGGCTGGACAGTACTTCCTACACGGGACGAGAACAAAGAGAAATATCTGCTTACAGCACATCAGTTAATTATAGCCGACGGCTCTGGAGAGATAAAGCCGAGTGAGAAGCTAAAATTATAAGCATTGATGGCATGAGATATAGTCTGGAAAACTGTGACTAGAGTTACTTTTTTTATTATGTAATGTCTTGTGGCTTGGATATATTTCAATTGAACAGCTGTAGAGAGGTCTGGGCAATATATACTGAATATTCTCAATATATGCACTATATTTATGTATATATTCATGTATATTCGAGCTATTGTGATGATTTAAATGCAATTTTACTTTTATTTATCTAAAGAGCGTCAAATGACTGGTTTCACATTCCTCCCTTGCCTCAAGAGTCATTCCATTTATAACTGAAAGATTTTTCTTATTTTTTTTTTATAAAGCAAACATAAGGATAACTTTTATACTTTATATGTTATTAATATTTCAAGATGAACTCTTACCAGTGTTATTTTAGAAAAGAGTGAAAACCAGTGTTATTTTAGCATTATTGAGATATTATAATATTTTTTTTATTATATATATATATATATATATACTGTATAATAATACTAGTAAAAATAATTAATGTTCATTATATTTTAATCAAGACTCTGAAAAATATTGAGTTATATTAACTAGTGGTATATTAACTATATTAACTAGAGGCTTTTCGTATAATATTATTATTATACAAACCAAATAGTATAATTATACAAAAAAACTCAAATAATTTTATAATAATCTGCTCTATAATCATAAAAAGTATTATTATTATTGTTATTATTAATAACAACAACAACAACAATAATAATAATAATAATAAAAAATCAGGCCAAAGACGAGGCGTCCCATTTTGGTGTCTGCATGAAATTAAATTTAAAAAATTGATTTTATACACATAGAAAGCATATTAAATGCAAGTAAAGTGTATACTTTAATGTTTAAATTAAAGTACTCATACACTTTTTTTTTAATAAGACTGATAAAATGCTTTATTGGTCAGCTTGCGAGTTTAACTTTTTCCAGGCTTCTATATGCTGAAGACATACTCTCACCTGTACTTTGCTGCTGGGAAATGACTGCCTCTGTCCAAACATGTCAGCAGCTCTGAGGAGGAAAGCAGAGGAGGCCACACAATGAGGGTAAAAATGGAGCAGATGAGAAGTGTCTCCACAAAGGAAACAGGTCCCCGACTCAACAACAACAACAAGAACAACAGGACATGAGCATCACAACAGGATGACGGACCCACTTCCTGCACTTCCATGTATAGGATGGAAACATATACATACTTAGACATAAACCTCACTCACGCTCACATGACAGTCACAGACAATGACCACAGACTATCAAGCGCTAAAAAAAGAAAAGTTCTATATGCTCCTCGCTCCGACACAGTAGGCAACACCGTGACAACTAAGCAGTGACCTTGAAATGTAGGAAATTGTAGGTTGTTCTATAATTTTGATCTCCACTGTATACTCTTTTAGCAAGCAAAATACCTTTTAGATTCTAAAAACGTTGTATTTTGGGTCTTTCTGCTGTGAAATTTACTTATTTTTATAAAGCAAACATAAGGATAACTTTTATACTTTATATGTTATTAATATTTCAAGATGAACTCTTACCAGTGTTATTTTAGAAAAGAGTGAAAACCAGTGTTATTTTAGCATTATTGAGATATTATAATATTTTTTTTATTATATATATATATATATATATACTGTATAATAATACTAGTAAAAATAATTAATGTTCATTATATTTTAATCAAGACTCTGAAAAATATTGAGTTATATTAACTAGTGGTATATTAACTATATTAACTAGAGGCTTTTCGTATAATATTATTATTATACAAACCAAATAGTATAATTATACAAAAAAACTCAAATAATTTTATAATAATCTGCTCTATAATCATAAAAAGTATTATTATTATTGTTATTATTAATAACAACAACAACAACAATAATAATAATAATAATAAAAAATCAGGCCAAAGACGAGGCGTCCCATTTTGGTGTCTGCATGAAATTAAATTTAAAAAATTGATTTTATACACATAGAAAGCATATTAAATGCAAGTAAAGTGTATACTTTAATGTTTAAATTAAAGTACTCATACACTTTTTTTTTAATAAGACTGATAAAATGCTTTATTGGTCAGCTTGCGAGTTTAACTTTTTCCAGGCTTCTATATGCTGAAGACATACTCTCACCTGTACTTTGCTGCTGGGAAATGACTGCCTCTGTCCAAACATGTCAGCAGCTCTGAGGAGGAAAGCAGAGGAGGCCACACAATGAGGGTAAAAATGGAGCAGATGAGAAGTGTCTCCACAAAGGAAACAGGTCCCCGACTCAACAACAACAACAAGAACAACAGGACATGAGCATCACAACAGGATGACGGACCCACTTCCTGCACTTCCATGTATAGGATGGAAACATATACATACTTAGACATAAACCTCACTCACGCTCACATGACAGTCACAGACAATGACCACAGACTATCAAGCGCTAAAAAAAGAAAAGTTCTATATGAGTTCTATACCCTCATGAACTACACGAGGTTAAGTAAATTAAGACAATTCTCATTTTTGGACCAACTATCCTTTTAACATTGCTTTGCTTTGTTCAAACAAGTCGTTTAAAAAACATCTCTAAAGGATCTGTAAGCATCCAGATGAGGGAAGGGGGCAAGCCACAGCATGGGGCCAACTGCACAGCGGTTAACATGAGGGTCAGCCAAGAGACAGGAAGACAGTGGGTTCCTAAGAGCTGAAGCTACACATGAACAATGTTGTGTTAAGATGATACACACTTTTCATTTTAAAGCAAGAATACCTTTGTGGTTTTCAGTGGAGTATGAAAGCAGAAATCCTCTTCCAGAGATGTGCTGGCTGCTGCGAAAGCGGACGGTCAGTTCACTGGAGTCTGTGTGAATCTGTGTAGGCTTGGGCATCGGACCACCACAGTACTCCCAGTAAACTAGATGAAATGCAAGTAAATTTATTAAACTTCATGAAAATGTAACCCTAGATAAGGAATTAGATTCACATTGAGGTATTAATAAAATTAATGAAAATTAACATCCAACAAAACTGGGTTCAACATTAACACCTGCCAAGTGCACAATGAAAGTAAAGAAGTATAATAATAATAATAATAATAAATAAATAAATAAAAATTGTAAAAAAAATATACAGTTACTTGTCAAGTGATGCCTTTACAAATTGCATCTAAAATATATAAATACCTAAACGTTACATAGATAAGAATATACAAAAATAAAATTATATGTATGCATTGATGGCTGGTAAAATTTTTTGGAACATTTTAAGAACATTTTAAATAAAATCAACCCGACAGTACAGATCTTAAAGGGTTACTCCACCCCAAAATGAAAATTTTGTCATTAATTACTCACCCTCATGTCGTTCCAAACCCGTCAGACCTCCACTCATCTTCGGAACACAAATTAAGATATTTTTATAAATTAAGAAAACAAAAATAACGACTTTATTCAACAATTCGTCTCCTCCGCATCACCCTGGGAAAGTTTATGACATGTCTGCTAACTGAAGGATAACACCCCGAACACTGATGAGATTCTGATAAGCTCTGATGATTATTAGCACACTTTAATCTATAAAACATTATGACTGAATGGACCAAAGGGTCAACACACTGAGAGGTGTGAATGACACAACTGTCAAACTCTGCACCAACACAAAGCTTTAGTCATCCAACGTCTCTCAACTGCTGTTTAAGAATCACTCAGAGAGGAATTCCAGCCATCCAGCTGCAGGACGCTTTGATCAGTGGATTTGGCTGAGGCTCGACTCTTGACACCATAACAGCGTTTGTGGTTAAAGGGTTGGCTGGGGAGGAACCAGACATAGTGTGGGAAGAATCATGTCCTTCAGTCTCTTCTCATGAAGCTGTTTGTTCTATTCACAGCAATGGCCCACACAAAGGGCAGTTCATCTTTTCTGGCCAGGATGACCAAGAAAGCCCTCAGGTTTAGGGTTGAAAGATGATAGCCTAATAAGTCAGAACAGCCCATTCACCTCGAGTGAAGAGCTGCAATATCCTTTTCCTTTCCATCCATCATTCAAAAAGCAGTAGGTGAGTACATTCATCACACAGAGGTTCAGGTGTAACCTGCAGTTCTGTTGGGATTTTGGAAAGAACGGGGATGCTCTATATGAATTTCTCAAATCTAACAAGGTCTGCCAATGACCAGAAGGAAGCATAATGCTTAAAAGTAAAGAACTTTAACATTTTTGAAACTTTAAAAGAACTTGGAATGTTGGATTGGATCAAACAAAACGAGGAAATGGAATGAACACAAGAACTGCCAATAATATTTTTTCCCCCCCTTTTTTTAATTAAAGGTGCCAGAATTACATTCTGGGCTGGCCGCATTTGACACTTATATAATCAACTATGAAATTTTAGCTGCTGTGTTATCCATTAACACACATTAACTGGATCAAATAGTGCACAGATTTGTACAACATACCATGTTTGACCACGTATCCACAAGTCAACGCATTTTAAGGGAGCAACCATTTAAACATTTACCAAATCTTATTCAGCAAAATCTTTCATTAAATTATTTAAAATTTCTGACATTAAAAGTCTTGTTACCTTTTTAATTGAAATGCATTTACACATTAATCTGTGCACTATCCCAATTTTTTAAATCCCAATATAGTGCAAAAACAGCAAGCTCATTCAAATAAGAAAAATATCAGAAATGCTTGATAACAAGTGACAATATCCTTTAGGAAACAAGAAGACTTGGCAACATTTCACCATAAACTCTGAAACATCCTCTGACACACTGATTTCTGTGGTTTCCTCCTGCTTTACTGTAAACTTATTAATGTGTGACTGGTGCCGACTCATGACAGCGTTCTGGTTTACAGCGCTTTTTTCAGGTTCACTCACAGTAATGTGATCTAGAGGAGTTTAAACTGACTAAAGAGCATATGATCAACTATATCACAATACGACTGCACAGCAGTTTGGAAGCATTTAAAACTGTCAGAGAAAGACGCAAAAATCCTTACAAGCACCGACAGCGAGAGACTGTTTAGGACTGAATCGCATGTCTTCAATGAGAAGAGGAAGGGGTGATTGTTGCTGGTTACTGTATGATGATTGAAATTGCGAAATTGCCTTAAACAATTAGTAAATAAATTGCAGAACATTATGTTTTCTAATACACTCACACATTGCATGTATTCTGACAGCGCTGCACGAACTCGCGGCGGATCTGCTT